ATTGGAATCCAGCTGATTTTTCTTCACTTACAGATAAAAGTTCTTCTTGGGATCCAGTGTTTTTTCTTATTTATGAGGAGTTTTCTCTCTTCTGCTGATGATACTTACCCCTGGCAGATCCCAAATACAAACTGAAAGAAAAACTTCAACATGCTTTCTCTTCGTGTGCTTCTTCCTTCTTTCTCTAGGTGCAGAGCACTGACCCCCCTCTCCAATGGACACAAAATAGAACAGTTACTTCTCTTTACCAGAAGAGCAGAAATTCCTGTGACCTTAGTTCACTGAAAACGAGGTACACCGTTACTCTCCTTTTAAAAAACTGATAACAAATTGCCCCTAAGTATTCTTGCTGACATACTTAAAATCTGAAGTTTAAAATATTCTTCTTCAGTAGAACCTGCCCAATTAAACACATAATCGTATACAGAGGACTTACTTTATTAAGAGTATTCCTCAGAACTCATTTCTAAAGAGCCTTGCTTCCCTAACAGAATGAAGGGTTGTTTTTTTTTTTATGTCTAACAAGCTTTACAGTAGTTTCTATGACTAAGCCCAAAAATACAGATTTAAATCATAATTTTACCACGGATTAGCCGTGCCTTCTCATCACATCATCTTCAGAGCTCATGTCCCCACTCCACAACAGAGAGGCTGAAGCCCATAACGTCCTTATGAACTCGAGAGTCCTCAGATTCCATGTTGAAAATCAGAAAACTTCTAACTGATCTCTCTGCCACTACTCTTCCCTAAATTATCCTTCATGCCATCGCCAATTAATTTCTCCAAACTACAACCATATTCATTTCCTACTGCTGTTTCAACAAATCACCTCAAACTCAGAGGCTTAAAACAACACAAACTTCGTATCTTACAGTTCGGGAGGTCAGAAGTCTGAAACAACTTTCACTGCGCTAAAATAAAGATGCCCAGTGGTGCCTGGGTGGCTCAGATGGTTGAGCGTCTGCCTTTGGCTCAGGTCATGATCTCCAGGTCCTGGGATCAAGTAGAGAGTCTGCTTCTCTCTTCCCCTGCTTGTACTCACTCTCTCTCTCTCTCAAATGAATAAATAAAATCTTTAAAAGAAAAATAAATACAATACAATACAGTAAAGATGTCCACAGGCTGGGTTCACTGAGGAGGTTCTAAGGAAAAACTGTTCCCTTGCTTTTTCCAGTTTCCAGAGGCTGCACCCCCTGGCTCATGGCCCTTTCCTCCTCCTTCAAATCCAGCAGTGTAGCATCTACGAATCTCTCTGACTCATGATTCTCCTCTCTCTAAGGACGCCTGTGATTACACTGGGCTACCTGGATAATTCAGGAGAAGCTCGCATATCAGGACCCTTAACTTAACCAAATCTGTGAAGTCCCTTTTGCCAAGTAAAATAAATAGTCACAGGTTCTGGGGATTAAGTCATGGACACATTTGGGAAACATTATGCTGCCAGACAAGGACATCAGAAGAAAACTAGACTGTATCTTTTTTTTTTTTTTTAAGATTTTATTTATTTATTTGAGACAGAGAGAGAGTGAGAGAGAGAGAGCACACGCACACAAGAAGGGGAGGGGGGGCAGAGGGAGAGCGAGAAGCAGACTCCCTGCCAAGCAGGGAGCCCAATGCAGGGCTCAATCCCAGGACCCTGAGATCATGACCTGAGCCGAAGGCAGACGCTTAACCGAATGAGTCACCCAGGTGCCCCTAGACTTACCTTTTATGTATAGACACAAAACTTCTCAACCAGCAAACCAAATCCAGCGACATATGAGAAGGATTATACACTGTGACAAAATAGGATATATCCCAGGAATGCAGGGTTGGTTTAACATTCAAAACCAATCAATCTAATATATTACACTAATGAAAGGAAAGGGGGAAAAAAACCCACATGATCATCTCACAGAAACAGAAAAAACATTCAACAATATCCAATGCTTTTTCACAATAAAAATACTCAAACTAGGAATAGGAAACTTTTACAACCTGATAAAAGCATCTATGAAAAACTCACAGCTAACAACATCATACCTAATCTTAATGGTGAAAGACTGAATACTTTGCCTTTAAGATCAGAAACAAGGCCAGGATGTCTGCTCTCACCAATTCTACTCAACTCTATGCTGGATGTTCTCCTTGGGACAATTAGGCAAGAAAAATTAAAGGCATTCAGATTAAAAAGCAAGAAAGCTATCTGTATTTTCAAAGGACATGATCTATATACAGAAAAATCTAAGGGGTCCACTAAAAAAATTAACAAATAAACAGGTTCAGTGAAACTATAGGTTATAAGATCAATACACAAAAATCAACTATATCTCTATATACTAGCAATGAACAATTTGAAAATGAAATTAAGAAAACAATATAATTTGCAATAGCATCAAAAATAATTAAAATACTTAGAAATAAATTTCACAAAGGTACAAGGTTTGTACACTGAAAACGATAAATCATTCTTAAAAGAAATTAAAGATGACCTAAAGGAAAGGAAGAGAATTAACAATCCAGAAGTAATTCCTTACATTTATGATACATTTTCAACAAGGGTGCCCAAGAAAATTCAATGTGGAAAGAAAAGTCTTTTCAACAAATGGTGCTGGGACAGCTAGATGTCCACATGTGAAAAAATGAAGTTAGAACCCTCCCTTACAGCATACAAAAAAAATGTACTTTTCACTTCAGTGTAAGGGCTTAAACTATAAACTCCTAGAGGAAAACGGAGAGGTTCATTTTTTGTGATCTTGAGTTAGGCAAAGCCTTCACAGACATGATACCAGAAGTATAAACAGTAAAACAAATAACAGGCAAACTGGACATCACCAAAATTAAAAACTTTCGTGCTTCAAAGACTGCCATCAACAAAATGATATGATAACCTTATAATGGGAGAAAGTTGTTGCAAGCCATACATCTGATAAGGGACTTGAATCCAGGATATATAAAGAACACTTAAAGCTAAACAATAAAAAAAAAAACCCAACCTAAAAATAAGCAAGGAATCTGAACAGACATTTCCTCAAAGACACATATATAGCCAAAAGCACCTAAAAAGATGCTCACAATCATTAGCCTTTAGGGAAATTCAAAACAAAACCATGAAGAGTTATCCTTTCACACCCACTAGGATGGCAACAATCCAAAAGTCAGATAACAGCAAACACTGGCAAGAGTATGGAGAAACCGAGACCCTCAACACTGGTGGTGAGCATGTAAAACGGGGCAGCCACTGAGGAAACAGCATGGCAATTCCTCAAAATGTTAAACAGAGTGTCATCAATGTCAGCAAGCAATTGTACTCTTAAATCCAAACCCAAGAAAAATGAAAACATAAGCCTACCCAAAAACTGCTGCTCACAGCAGCATTAATAATAATATCCAAAAAGTGGAAACAGGCCAAATGCCCATCAACTGATGAATGGAGAAATAAAACATGGCGCAGCCATACAACGGAGTATTGTCCATCAATAAAAAGGAACACAGTACTGATACTTGCTCTAACATGCACCTTAAACACTTTCTGCTATGTGAAAGAAGCCAGTCACAAAAGGCCATATGATGTATGATTCCATTTATGTGCAATTTCCAGCATATGTAACTCCATAAAGGCAGAAAGTAGACAAATGGTTGCCAGGGGCTGGGAAAAGACAGGGAATGGTGAGTACTACTAATAGGTATGGCGTTTCTTTTCGGGATGATGAAAATCTTCTTAAGTTAGATGATGGTTATGATTACACAACTGTGAATATACTAAAAACCACTGAATCGTAGACTTTAAATGTGTGAGTTTTATGGTGTGTGAATTATATCTCAATAAAAGCTGTTTTTAAAAGTCTAAGGTATCCAGTTCATGTGCAAACCCACTGTTGAAGATAATAAATTTTCTCCAAGTAGTCTGGAAAGAAAATAAATACATAAAATACCTTATAAGAACGCATATATTTTTCTTTATGGGTTACATTTAACATAAAAATCATCTGTGCAGAAGAGTGATCACATGAATGTCCTATGCTAGAAAGGTGTAATAGGACTATCACTAACATGGCATGGTCTAAAATAAATAAATGCATAAAATGAACAGCAGATTTTAAAATAAAACCCATCAAAGGCTCCTCAGTGGTCCCCACATCTTTGTTTGCCTTCATAGCTAACCTTCGATAACCTTTTCAGACTCATCTCTCATTACTCCTCAACACAAATGCAGCTGGGCCAGACTTTCCACTGCCCACCCTCCCACCATGCACTGAATACCACGCTCACTGCCCCTCATCCCTCTACCATCTGCCTTAGGTCTTGACCAAATGCTTCTTCATCTTCAAGGACCTGTCCCATCAAAGACATTTTCCTCTCTCTCTCCAGATCATACCAATCCAATATCCACTGGCCTCTGGAAGCTCTAACTATCCACACCCCTAAAAGGACCCCTCACCACCCTCATGCAGCTAATGCATTCTCACAGTAATTTAAAAAAGAGAGAGAGAGAGAGTCACCTACACTTTACCTTTTCCAGCCTTGATTCATTGATTTATCCACTTCATCTGAGAGTTCCCTCACTCTCAGGAGATGATATACCAGCTTCCACCCCGAGTCCTAAAGCAAACAGCACTCTCGCCAATGACAGAGTGCCACCTAGTTGCAACACAGGGTAACTCAACGGCAGTAGGAAGATCCCCACACCACTTTTACAGAAAATGTGCTGATGGTGAAATTAAGCAGCCAGCCTCGGCATCACTCTGCAGGCTGGGCCATGACACTGTTCACAGGTGCCTCTTACCACCTGACCAATTCACCTCACACATCTTACAGCTATTCTTTGTTCTCAGCTCAGGGCCAGGCATGCGTGAGTCATTTAGCATTTACCCAATCAAATTCAACTTCTGAAGTACGCTACTTGTGTAGATGGTTAAAAATTCCTGTGATAATCACAGGAGAGCATTTCTGAGTTTTCTCATAACAAGTAAAAAGCATAGATGATTATGAAATGACAAGAAATCTCGCGATTTACTCACATATAATGGAGCTTGCTGTGGATTAAGTTTCATGACCCAGGACACTGAAACAGAAAAGGGAGAAATAAATGAGAATAAAATTAAAAGCCATCGCCAAAAAATATAAAAGCCACAAGTGCTGTATGTCGAGTACGGACATATGAACACAATCAAAAGTCTGAGATAACTGGACGCCTGGCTTTCCTGAGAGGTTTGGGAAGGCCAGAAGGTCAAGGACTGCAAAACTTCTTGTAGCCCCGATTCAATCTTTTCAACTGGAGAGAGACTTCCTTTTTTTTTTTTTTTTTAAGATTTTATTTATTTATTTGACAGAGAGAGACACAGGAACACAAGCAGGGGGAGTGGGAGAGGGAGAAGCAGACTTCCTGCCGAGCAGGGAGCCCAATGCGAGGCTCGATCCCAGAACCCCGGGATCATGACCTGAGCCGAAGGCAGACGCTTAACGACTGAGCCACCCAGGCGCCCTGGGGAGAGAGACTTTCAGATTGAAAAATAAACACAAAAGGCTCCTCTGTCCTAGGAGAATTTTCAACAACCAACAGGATATTAAATGCAGTTACCAAAGCAAAAACAGTGTATGTTCAGTTATACTTTTACATAATCCCCCAAATTTACAAAGTGCTGCTTAGCCAGAGCCTCCTCCAGCCTCACTGGGGAGTGTGGGGGGAGGGACCGCAGGGGACCAGAGTGCTCTCTTCCCCTCGGAGAAGGGAGGATACAGCTGGGGTCCACCAACTATGCGTTGTCCTCCTCAAAAATAATAGCTGGGTTCCCGACTGTTATCTTCACTAAATGAATTCTCACAGAAATCTTAGGAAGAACTTAAAGAAGACTCACAGGATTGTCTAATACACTCCTAAATATCAAGAACAGCATGCTCCCAAAGGTTTAACTTGGTGATTTGACCAGGAGCTTCAAGCTAAAATATCACGGTCCTGAATCGTGGACTTGGGATGGCAGGCCCTTTGCCAAACACCCTGAATTTGAGCATAAGCTGATCCTGGCCTCATAGGAGTCAGAAAGGCAGACCCAAGGGACTTGATGATAATTTGATCTAAGGAAGTTTCTTACTCATAATAGGTTAAATGGATTAAATTAAGGCGCACAGTAACTAACCAGTAATATAAAAACAGTACAGAAATGTCATTCGCACATGCAAAAAATAGAGGAAATCACATTCTTTGTGTTCTACCAGATTACAAAAACCTCACTAACAGTGAACTGAAATCCCAATAGCACAAACAGCAGCTTATCAACGGCTAAATGTTTAAAGAGCAGTGAATGCCATAGCAACCACGTGTAACCTAAGGAACAGAATCCTCCCAGATCTGCCAGTTCGGTCAGGCTGTGTATGTGTATGTCCAAGGTCAAGGCTCACCCAAAAAGCAGTTAACACACACTTAGGGGGAAAAAACCAAAAACCAAAACTGTAATCGGGCTCCTAAACCCAGTCATCTCCAAACCACTTGCCAGCCACTGGCTTTTCAGCGTGTTGTGCCAACAGCCCGGGGGGCTTCCGACAGCCCGGGGGGCTTCCGCCACTCTGACCGACCACCTCCACAACCACTCCTGTTCATTCTCTGGTCCACTCCCCAGACCACTCTGTGGCACTTCTTCCTTCCTGCCTTCATTTAATGATTTTGTACCCTTAGGTGCTAAAGTCACCTGTAAAAATCCACAGTGAAAACCAAGCTTGAGAAATGTAGCAATAACAAACTCTTTTAGTAGAAAAAGAAAGATTTCCAGCCCATCAAATCAAACAGCAAGCATGGATGGAAAAGACTGAAGCGCTTGAGTACTTTTCTCAATGCATTAAATATCCATTTAATTTAAAATTAAGCTCACTGTGCTCACTAGCCTTTTAATCAGCTTTCCAAGTCCTGTCCAGACTTGCCTGGGACAAAGGACTGAAAGAACCTACAACTTTATAAACCAATTTCCCTTAACTAACTTCTGAAGTGTTCCTCTCAAGAAGTATCCGTGGAAACTGAAACAGGAATTAGCACTTCAGTAATCCATAACAAGTGGAGAAATCTAGGGAGACACACTAGTGACTTATTGGCCCTCTGATGGTTCTTCATCTGCCAAGAAACTTGACCACGTCTGCAAGGACCACAAACATCAAGCTATCTGAGTGGCTCCCACTGCGTTTGGATTAGAAGAGCGGGTGGAACTCACAGGGCTCTCAGGAGGGGCTGATGCCATCTCGACTGTTTGGTATTATGACCTCGTCTAAACATACATCAAAGCCAGAACCCATACAAGTTGTTCTGATAGGAAGATTAAAGAGGAATGACAAAGTGTCTGTCCTCCTACACTGGTCAAAGGGACAGGTCATTGTTATGCTGGCAACAGAGGCTGTTCAAAGAATAAATCTGTCAGAAGTCATCAGGGCAATGACCCCAGAGGCAACAGATTGGTAAATTCAGACTGCTTTAAGCTTCTTCAATGCTGACACACATGAGGAAACACGGGACTAATAGTGACAGAGCTTTATATTCAATATTATTTTTAACCCCCATAAAAAGACATTATTTTCCCCATTTCACTAGGGGAAAAAAATGGAGTCTTTCAATGACTAAGTTATTTACCAACTTTAAGAAGAGAGCCCAGAATCGAACCCCATCTAATGCTCAAACATGTGCTTTCCCCCCATATCATAAGAGGATCTCCTGAATGAACTCAATCCACAAACTGACCTGTCCCAGCTCTAGCCCCTGTTCTACAAAGACTAGAGACTCCCCCGACCTTGTTCACTCAACTCCTGCTGTGCACCTAACAATGTGCCAGGCATTGCACGGAGGCACTGGAGGTGCAGAAGGAAGAGACAAACTCCCAACCTTCAAAGGGTTTACTGTAGGAGTACACACTTCAATACGGCAGTAAAATAAGTGGTTTTCAGTGATAAGTTCCATGGAGAAAAATGAAAAAGAGGAAACAGGAAATGTTTTACATATGGTACTGAGGGAAGGCCTCTCTGAGGTGACATTTATCCCCCAAAATCAAAGAGAATAAGAAAGGTGGAAGGGGTTCCAGACTCCCAAACTGGCCCCAAAACACAGAACTCAAGAGTTCTGATGCTAAGCCATCAGAAAACTTGCTACATACAATGCACAACTTACTTTATCCATTTAAGTAAGCTCACTTTACTTGAGAACGGTGCTCTAAAGGAAGGAGCATATTGCAGGAAGGCAGTCTCTGGGTCAGAGTAAACACACTTAAAAACCAAATTTATTCTCTAAGACCCAATTGAAAGTCTTTGCTTTTGTCCATGGATTTTTGATCAAGACTTCCCAAAAGGAAAATGAAAGAAATGCACTATGTCCATGAATGATTTCATCAAGAAATTTTGAGAGAAAAACCCTACAATTTCCTCCTTACCCGGGAACTAGAGAATGACTTTAACCAAGTCCACATTTACATGGGCTTCTTTCATGTAACACCAAGTACAACACAGGACAGACCCAGTGGGACTATAAAGGTTGCACCCCATTTTAAAGACTATGAAATGGAAATATCAAAATTCAAACACATAACTGATGTGATTTCAAATATGTTCACCAAATCTTCCACTCAGCAGTAGCCAGCTACAATTCTGATGAGTCATAGATCTGCGGGGTGAGGAATAAAAACAAGCTCAGTAATTAAGTGTTTTCATTCTTCTCACATTTTCCATTTTATTGCAAAATGCTGAAAGAAAACAAATGGAATAGTTTACTGTTGTACAAAAGTAACACATTCACTCTATGTCAAAGCAGGACTCCTCCATCCTGAATGCAATGGTCTCAGTGATGTCAGTCCAGCTCTCTCTGCAATCCTCTGGCAGCTCTCGGGGGCTGCTGAACAGGCAAGCAGACCCGAGCTGTGACCTCTTCCTGCACTTTAGAATAAACGCTCATCAGCTTTTCCCTCGCAGGGGGCCGGGCAGACACCATCAGTGGCATGGGTCAGCGTGGGGACATGTGGTGCTGACACAGGTTAACAGTGGCAAGAGTTCTGGAACTGTCTGCAGGTCACACCACCTGCAAAGGATTGTGAAGAAGCTCAGCAGCTCCTAAGGATCACATGGAAACTCAGGCACGAAGTGATACAGGTGTTTGGTGGTTTGCGGGGAGAGTAAGGGACAGAACACACTTCCACAGACCAGCGTGCCTGAGCAAATGAATGCAAAACCACAGAAGCCACCAAAGATGACATGCCTTCATAATAGCCGGTGTCCACAGCAGGGGCTAGCAAACATTTTCTGAAAAGGGCTGGATGGTAAATATCTGGGGCTTTGCGGGTCATAACGCTCTGTGGTGCAATGCGTAAACGAATGGGTGTGGCCATGTTCCAATAAAACTCTCTTCACAAAAGGGGCAGTGGACTAGATTCAGCCAGTGTGCCCGAGTGCCAACTCCCGACCAAAAGCTAACAAAATACCTCTTAATAAGCCAAAGAAGCAGGGTGTCCCCATTCAACAGCTCTGTACGTCTCAAAGATATTTTCAGCTAGAAAAGACTTCTCAGCATAGAAAAGTCCTAGCATGCTATACAATATCCTCTAGACCAGCAATCAAATTACATGGGCGGCCATCCCAAGTTCCCTAGTGATTAACTGTATGACCTTGAGCAAGTAAGTGGACTAACCTCAGTCTCTTTAAGTGCAGTAAGAGCATAAAAATTCCTGCCTACACTATGGAGTCGGAAGAATTAAAAGAGAGAATCCAAGTGAGGTGCTTAAGCACACTGCCAGACACAGATCTTTCTTGCAGTTCCTGGGTCTCAGTGGAAACTACCAAGGAAAATACCTGGAAAATTCTAAGTGGTCAAAATAAAAGGCGTCAGGGGGCGCCTGGGTGGCTCAGTCCATTAAGCGGCTGCCTTCGGCTCAGGTCATGATCCTGGGGTCTTGGGATCGAGCCCCACATCCGGCTCCCTGCTCAGCAGAGAGCCTGTTTCTCCCTCTCCATCTGCCTGCCACTCTGCCTACTTGTGCTCTCTCTCTCTCTCTCTCTGTGTCAAATAAATAAAATCTTTAAAAAATAAATAAATAAAATAAAAAT